GCACTGCACTATCTGCATCTCTTGAGCCGTTCTCATGCTTCAGCTCTTCTGGCTGTGGGGGACTGTCATCAGTTGTGTGAGATACAGGAACCATGTACATTAAAATGTAATGTTCAAGTGTAATGTAACAAAACAAAAACAAAAAAAAAGCATGAAAATATAGGGCAAATATACTGATGAATGGAAAGACTATCAGTGAAATAACTGTAAAACTGCAATAGAGAGTCAAAGTGAGTCTCTGAAAATGCAGATATATAGAAACTGGGTTGCAGATCTTGAAAACAAACATAATTAAATACAGAAAACCTATTTTCAGTGTTAAAATTATTAACGTTTAAAGAGAGGTGAACAAAACAACATTAATCAGGGTTCTCAAATGTTATGCTTACCCAAGCCTACTGCAAGGTACAGAGACCTACTGCAGGGTACAGAGACCTACTGCAGGGTACAGAGACCCACTGCAGGGTACAGAGACCCACTGCAGGATAGAGAGACCTACTGCAGGGTACAGAGACCTACTGCAGGATAGAGAGACCTACTGCAGGGTACAGAGACCTACTGCAAGGTACAGACCTACTGCAGGGTAGAGAGACCTACTGCAGGGTACAGAGACCTACTGCAGGATAGAGAGACCTACTGCAGGATAGAGAGACGTACTGCAGGGTAGAGAGACCTACTGCAGGATAGAGAGACCTACTGCAGGGTAGAGAGACCTACTGCAGGGTACAGAGACCTACTGCAAGATAGAGAGACCTACTGCAGGGTACAGAGACCTACTGCAAGATAGAGAGACCTACTGCAGGGTACAGAGACCTACTGCAGGATAGAGAGACCTACTGCAGGGTACAGAGACCTACTGCAGGGTACAGAGACCTACTGCAGGGTACAGAGACCTACTGCAGGGTACAGAGACCTACTGCAAGGTACAGACCTACTGCAGGGTAGAGAGACCTACTGCAGGGTAGAGAGACCTACTGCAGGGTAGAGAGACCTACTGCAAGGTACAGAGACCTACTGCAGGGTACAGAGACCTACTGCAGGGTACAGAGACCTACTGCAGGGTACAGAGACCTACTGCAGGATAGAGAGACCTACTGCAGGGTACAGAGACCTACTGCAGGGTACAGAGACCTACTGCAGGGTACAGAGACCTACTGCAAGGTACAGAGACCTACTGCAGGGTAGAGAGACCTACTGCAGGGTACAGACCTACTGCAGGGTACAGAGACCTACTGCAAGGTACAGAGACCTACTGCAGGGTAGAGAGACCTACTGCAGGGTACAGAGACCTACTGCAAGGTACAGACCTACTGCAGGGTAGAGAGACCTACTGCAGGGTACAGAGACCTACTGCAGGGTACAGAGACCTACTGCAGGGTAGAGAGACCTACTGCAGGGTACAGAGACCTACTGCAGGGTACAGAGACCTACTGCAAGGTACAGACCTACTGCAGGGTAGAGAGACCTACTGCAGGGTACAGAGACCTACTGCAGGGTACAGAGACCCACTGCAGGGTACAGAGACCTACTGCAGGGTACAGAGACCTACTGCAGGGTACAGAGACCTACTGCAGGGTACAGAGACCTACTGCAGGGTACACAGACCTAGACAATGATTTAGCGGTCAGGTCAAAGTGAGGCTCAAGAGGTGTGGTTACACAGAAACATGATCACATTTCATGGAAACAAATTTAGTCAAATACTGAGGCTCTAGAGAGACAGGGAATGAAGACAGAATTGTTAAGAAAAATAGAAAAGTGACAAATGAAATATATCAGTCATATTTAAAGACAATGCTTTAATAACCTTGAATGTTGAATTGAGAATCAACATCATAGCACTCAGGACACACCCATATTCTCTCTAATAACCTTTTATAGGGAAAAGCTGTAGGTAAACGAACAATAGGCAGACACTGTAGCTCCTACATTTATTATTGAGGGAAAAGTGAAGTCTGCCCCACTGGAAGTAACAGTTCTTGTATTTATGCATGCAATTGAGACAAAATGTGAGTCTAAAAGAAACTCTAAAATGAATACTGATGAGAGAGATCAAAGGTGCTGGACTGGATTCTATCAATGATATTGAAAGGTTAGCGCAGGATAATAAAGAATGGAGGAATTCACGGTGAGCCCTATGTGACACAAAATGGCACAACAGGACAGTCATAAGACAAAGCTGAGCTCTTCAAAGTCATTTGGGAACAAGCAATGGAATCAGTAGCGATAGATGATTATTATGGCCTGCAGAGAATGAGGCATCTGGGTGTAACTAGAGAGTCTGGTCGGCTCAAAACACTCAGAGGAAAGGCAAGACGGACATATAACCAGATTGTGCCTAGTACCATGAGTATTGGAACTCTGCGCTGGCTTGCTGAAGTTGAAGCATACATGGGAATGCCCCAAGTACTGTGATGTCAATTCTTGACTCAACTCAACTCAACTAAGCTGAGCTCTATATGAAATATGTTAATACCATTAAATAGGTATAGAGTATAATATTAGGAGACATTTGTGAAGATCATAATGACAAAAAATATAAATTACCAGAATACTAAAACACTCCCATCTGAACAAGCCACTGCAAAAAGGCCGAGTCTTTTCAAATATCCATCATTTGTGTTCTGGGAGGAGAAAAACAAAACAGATGAAAAGTGAAGAAGATTAAAACTTCTACACATGCTTTTTTATCCTTCAGTGGAAAACAAACTCTTAATCTTCTCATGCTAAACCAACTTTTCATTTATTATCTCCTGAATTTATGCCCATGGCGTCCACCTCGAGTGTTGGAGGTCCTGAGTTCAAGCCCCGGTGAAGGCTAGGATTTATTTTATGTGGAGTTCTAGTAATTTTTCCCTGTTCTCCAGGTAGTGAGATCGGATGCCTGTGTGTATTGTTGAGCATGTAAAACAATCCCTTGGCAGTTGGAAATCAAAAAGAGTAGCTTAATGGAGCTGTATGGGCAAAATTTGTGGAGTTAAAAATGTACGTAAAGTATTTTCAGGATCCTCGCCGGTGCTACGGAGTTCATGCACTGCATTGAGATTTTTCGGACTCAGGCTTGAATTAGAAGTAGAACTGAGCACTCATGGGTTACTACATTTGTGTCATGATGTTGAGCTATGTCTTGTGTTCTTCTTCTTCTGCTTTGATCTCCCAGTGAAGCAAATGGCCTCAACCAACCCACGCACCATGTTTTGAAAATCCCATGCCTCTCATTATTTTCCAGTTTATGGTGTTTATATATATATATATATATATATATATATATATATATATATATATATATATATATATATATATATATATATATATATATATATATATATATATATATATATATTATAATGGCATCCGTCAGTCCCGGGGGACTATGGAGATCTGCTGCTGGCTTTGGGAACAGCATCTGCTGTGACTGTAAAGTCCGATGCGGGAATGGCAGCCTTTGCCACACAGGATACACACAAAAGCAGATACTCCCTCGTTGTGAGGCAGTTTTACTCTCCGGTGTCTCCTCTCCACAGCTCGTTGTGTTCGGTTTCTTTCAAAATGTGACAGTCCGTCTTTCACTTTTTGTCTCCATAGTAGTCGGTCTGCAGCTGATTTTTCTATTAGGTCACGTTTGCATACATCTTTATAGCGCAGCTTTGGCCTTCCTGTAGGTCTATTCCCAGTTACCAATTCACCATATAGGAGATCTTTTGGAATATATATATATATATTTACACACACACATAGATATATACACACACACATATACATATATACACACACATACATATATGGACATACACACACATACAGACATACACACACATACATATATATATACACACACACACACACATATACATATATATATAGACACACATACATACATATAGATTTGCCAGATGGATCCCAGAGGAAGTACATTTTTATTTATTTGTGTAATGTGTGTCATATCCAGTAACTGCAATGGTGTTGGCACACAAAAAAAATATTGGGGCCCTCAGCGTTCTTATAAATTTTTCAGAGGGGGGGGGGGGGGGGATATGGGAGGTGTGTGGCTAAGGAGACCTTAGCCTTGTGTCAAAGTGCAATCATAATAATAATTTCTGAATGGCCAGTAAAAATAATAATTTTTTTGAAATAATATGAAATGGGAGTGGGTGGGAGGGACTAAAGATGTATAAGCTGTCAGGTATTTCTATTGGCGCTCTTGACAGACGTTCTTGCTGCACACACACACACACACACACATTAAGCCCCCACATCATCATTTTAGAGCAGTTAAGTCATCAACATACTCACATTATCAAAGCATACTTTCGGACACCAGGTTATGCCATGGTTGTAGCCTCCGTCATGTGCAATGGCATATTGAAAAACTGGGGCAGCACAGCAGTTTCTGTTGTTAGAGCAAGAAAACAGTTTCAGCATTTCGGCATTCAATTTCAACAAACTTCTAAATAGTCACCATGATATACTTATTGGTGGGGGAAAAAAGGGGAAGGGGCACGATATCTATTTTTGTTTCCCCAAATCAGGCCCATCTACTCCCAGTTTAGCCATTACATACCAGGAAGTGAACAATCTGCAATTGAATACACTAATGATAGCCTTGGCCATTGTCATTCCATGTGGATATACAATCTTTAATATCTTCAAAAATCCATGCTTTCATGCTTTGCTTGGGCTCCCTCATGCTCTCAATATCAGATATTTTTAGGTGCAGTGCTGGAACTGGTAGTTGTGGCTGCTTCTAATGAGATGGCTAGACCATTTGATCTTCTGTTTTTCAGTGACTTTGGTGCAAGGCGCTGTTCCTACAGTCTGCCTATTAGCAAAATTTCTTACTCAGTCTAGGATGATTCAATTGGTATTTTTTTCTCAGGAGCTTCACTTCACAGGTGTTAATTTTACATAAGTGAGCCTTTTGACAATGTAAAGTTAGGGAGTACTTACAGTAGCTAAATATATATTAAGAGTTGAAACTGCAATTTTTCTTATCGGGCTTACTTTTCATTGGCTAAAGGGCCAGTCGACCAAATCTGAACAAGACCTGGACCATCTATCAGAGTAGCACCATCCAGATGTTCCTCCGTAAATCTGTCTGCACACACGGCCAGAAACTGACTTTGACTTGAATCTTGAGGTACCGGGCACCATTCCACTGCCCAAATTGGACCTCCAGTGTAACAGTATGATGACCCTACACATACAGTGTTGAAAAAAAAAAGATATATTTAATATACTGGTAAAGGCATTCCAACAGCCTCACAGAATGAAAAATATAAATAGTTTAACTTTGTCAATCAAAGTGAGAAAGAGAGTTCTTAAGAATTATATGGGACAATCCTGATGCATGGAAGTGAATTACTGGCAGTCAACAGATCTGATCTATCAATATGCCCTCTTGATGTCATTGTTGACACATGAGGTATTCACAAGTGGTCTCCACTGATGCTTTTATGCTCATGGTATCCTACTGAATTTTAATTCAAATGCATAAACCTGAACAATATTTTCAGTACTGGATAAACTTGGCCTCATTGTCTGTGATAAATGCTCTTCTATGTACAGTAGAATTACTATAAGCTTAATCGTTGTCATCATCTAATTGCTTATCCTGTACAGAACTTTGTACAGCCTCCCCTCCCCTTTCCCATAACAATCTTTGAAATTTCTCTCCAGATTTGTTTGCCTCTTTAATAAAGCAACTGCAAGGAAGCACACAATGTCATTAGAAGAATTGTTATCAGTATTCAGACATAAACTAAGTAGTTCGTAGTTGTTTCAACCTCACTGCAATATTCAACCCCATAACTGCTCCAGTGAAAAAACACAAAATCTCTGTCCTATTTGAAAGCTAGACAACAAACAATTAGTCCCAGCAAAATCTAGAAGTACGCACACAGTAGATGCATAAGGCAGTCACTATAGGTGTAAACACCAGCAACCCACAACTAGAATTAGAGCTCATCACTAGTGACAGCTAGCTGGCAGTGGCACAGGCAATATTATTGCACAAAGCACATCACCTGAGTGGATGCAAACTGGCCACCCACATTGTTTTGATGATTACAACAGAAACTCTCACTTGGAGAGATGGTGTGTTACACAGAAGAGAGCAATGCATTTTTGTTTTGAATAGTTGCTGGCGATGAATCATGGTGCCACTACTTTCATCCCTGCATTAAAACAGCAAGCATGCAATACAAACATCCTGGATCACCAAAAGAAACATAAACACACACACACAAGTCACAGGTCCTTCTTTGCAGATATCCCACATCTCCCCCCACAGTCATATGTATATGATAACGGCTGTGAGCAGACCCTGTATCTGAACTGATACAATCAGATATATTTTTCTATGGACTTGAATGTATAAGCAGCAATAACATACCATCATGTGACAGGGTGTGACCAAACTTTAAGGTGTGCTCTCCATCTTCCACTTTATTGTTCTGGGCTGAGCCGAATGCAAATTTAAGACTTTCCTTCAGCACTGGCAGATACTTCTGTGCTTCACTGGAAATAGAAACACACACTGTGATGTGGCTTGCAGCTTCAAATTAAAAGTAACTGAATGTGTTTTTTTTTTTTCTCATTCATCATTAAAAGTGTGGTTGGCACACTGTGTTGTGGTTTACAGCTAGGTTGCAATATTTGCACTTTTTGAACCAACACATCCAATTTTTGTTAACCTTAATTAGTTGCCCCTTCATTATGTATTCCTTCAAAAATGGAGCCCTGGAGCCCACATTAGGAAAATATACTATGACAGTGAGATTTTTGCAAAAGCAACAAGAATGATGCAGGAATTCAGATGAAATAATACTGTGTGGGTTCCCAGGCCATACAGTTCCCAGTTCCCACAGTTCCCAGATCCCACAGTCCCCACAGTTCCCAGAATCCCCACAGTTCCCAGAATCCCCACAGTTCCCAGATCCCACAGTCCCCACAGTTCCCAGGTCTGTTATTTTAAGGAAGAACAGAACAGATCTACTGCCTTCCCCCCCCCCCCTCTCCCAACAAGCATTATAAAAACTGACTAGTTAGAGGTGCTCCTTTAAAGTCTGAGTGGATCTTCCTTAGAAGCAAGAAACCAACGCAAACGAGCCAGATCTATGAAATAGATATGCATACAAAACTCAAGTTCTGGAACTAGACTAAAGTCCAGAAGTGGACAAACAACCAGAATTTCCACCACAATTTATAGCCAGTGAATGTAATAGTGCTCTTGACAGAGCTCAGCAATGAATGTTACACACCCCCTCCCTTCCCCGACACTTCAATGAGGTACAAGCTGGAAGAGAAGAAGAAGATGAAGAACTTAAAGAAGTTGAAATTCATTGGAGCAGGAAACTATGGACTGCATTGTCTGGAGGAGGCCAGATGGGGAGGGGGTAGAGGGTGGAATAAGGGAAGCAGAAAATGATGGCAGGTGTGTTATGAGTTAACAGTTTGAGGTTGTAGGAGAAGAAGAGGGTCCACCATGCGAAGGTGAGGTAGGCTTGAGCTAACAGACATTAAAAGTCTTGTGTTGCGCATAACTGCTCCATTAGGAGCCCGGGAGGCAACCATCAGTAAAGGAACTTTTCATTGACTAATGACAAGGCAGAGCAGGCATGTGGAGCGTTTGTTGCTAAATGGACACATAATAATATGAATGGAGCTTTGTATATAACCAGAATTACAAAACTATGTTCATAACCCTAAGCCACAGAAACTATAGATTTACATGTTCCACATCTAATTACTTAAATAAAAACCCTGACACCAGAACAGAAGCCAAACACTACCTGCCAGTGAGTCGTTGCCAATCCGCTAGTTTTGGAGACAAGTCTGGAAACAGTCTCTCGGGTAGCTGATCATACAACTCTTTGAACAACTGTAATCTCTCTTTTACAGCTGCATGTGGCATACGGATGCACGCTTTTGTCCACATCTGTCTCCTGTCACCTGTGATAAGGCAATTTTGAGAAGCAAATTAAAACAACACAACTAGGATTGGAATGAAGTAATCAATCAAATAATCAGTAGTTCTGGATGAATTAATCAAGAGTTGACATCACTGCACTAGGGGTATTCCCACAAGTTCTCTACCTCCTTCCTCAATAGCCAAAGAAAAGCTTTCGTACTGATGGTAGATGTTACATGATCAAAAGTCTGCCTAACTTTTGCCCTGCATGTTGAAAACCACCCAGATCCCTTACTCACTCTCCATAGTTCGCACGTGGGCTTTGGGACTCCATTGTGGGGACAAAAATAACGGATCCACTGCCTTCTCCCAAGCAGTTGTAAAAGTCAACTAATTAGGAAGTTCCTTTGAAGTTGGAGTGCATCTGCCCAAGCTGCAAGGAACAACCAGCTACGCACAAATTAGCGAGTAAAACAGATGTACATGCAAAACTCAGGCCCTGACACCAAGCCAAAGTCCAAACACCCAGGACTTTTCGCTGGTGAACAAAGAAGAAAAGATTCTCCACTGGATCAGTATTTCTTCTTCTCCTAAAAGTCCATGCCATGTGGGGTTGGTAGTCATGTGTATCCGTAACCTTATTTCTAGTTTACTTTCAATTAACTCTAACAAAGATGATCCTCCATGCCATCATGTCAAACTGTCCAGCATCTGTTCTCTCAATCTGCCTCTGCCTCTCCTCCTCTCCAATTTTCCTACTGTCATGATATACTCCAGTTTTCTTTTTCTCATCACATGACCAACGAATGCAGCTTGCGTCTTTCTGATGTGGGTAAATAGCTCTCTACATGCGCCAGTTTTTTTTCAAGACTTCATTTCTCTTTTTATCTGTCCAGTGTATTCTCATCATTCATCTATTAAACCATATTGAGCAGCTTCCAGATGAGTTTTTATTAATTTAATAACTGTCTATGATTCACTTCCATATATCAATATAGGATTTATATAGCTTTTAGGAATTCTCTTTCTCATCTCAATTGACAAAGAAAGATTGCATAAAATATTCTTCATTTTGTAAAATGCTGCCTTTGCTTGAGCTATTCGACATTTAACTTCCTTAATACATTTTCCATCTGATGTTATCAGGGTACCCAAGAACTTAAACATATCAACTTGCTTGAGATTTGTCCTATTTACTTTAATGTTGCATTTTGGAGGATCAATTTTCTTTGTAAATACCATTACTTCTGTTCTCCTGCTGTTTAAACTAAGAACCTTGTTTTCTTTTCCGTTACAATTATATCCATCATTTCTTGCTATTGTGTTTAATTTTCAGTGATCAAAACTGGATCGTCAGCATACTGTTGACTGTTAACAATATGCCCACCAACCGATATTCCTGGCATATCACATATAGATTTCCCCCGTGTGGGTTCCGGGGCCCCATTGTGGGGAAAATAAGTATAGACCCACTGCCTCCCCAAAAGCATGTCGTAAGAGTCGACTAACTGGGGAGCTTCCTTTGAAGTCGGAGTGCATCTGCCGGAGAGGCAAGGAACCAACAGTCTTTATTCTTTATAATAATTCTCAACATTCACTGGCTGTAAATTCGGGTGGAGAGTTCTGGTTGTTCGTCCTCTTCTGGACTTTGAACCCGTTCCAGAACTTGATTTTTATATGTACATCCATTTTACAGATCTGACTTATCTGTATGCAGACTGTTGGTTCCTTGCCTCTCATGCAGATGCACTTTGAATTCATAGGAAACACCCCTAATTAGTCACCTTGGATTACATGCTTGTTGGGGGCAGTGGCTTTATTCTTTTTTTCCATCAGAATGGGGCCCTAGAACACACATGGGAATATCAGTGCCTCAAGTATGGATATTCTGTCTGTTCAAGTAAGACTGGAAGATCACAGAAGAAAAAGGGGCAATAAAACAAGCGCAACCAAATACTTTGGCCACAATCTTAATCATTGGGGGTCAGGAGTGAGTGAGACACACACATACATAAAATGAATCACAAACTACATACGAACAAGCATATGTATGTCTAGTAATTAATTCAGACCACGTGGATGTCTAAGAAACAATTAGACTTCATGGATGTCTAGTAAACAACGTAGACAATGTGGGTGCCTAGTAACCAATGTAGACAATGTGAGTCTCTAGTAAACCACACAGACAATGTGGGTGTCTAGTAAACAATGTAGACAATGTGGATGTCTAGTAAACAACACAGACAATGTGGGTGCCTAGTAACCAATGTAGACAATGTGAGTCTCTAGTAAACCACACAGACAATGTGGGTGTCTAACAAAACAATGTAACACACAATGTGGATGTCTAGTAAACAACACAGACAATGTGGGTGCCTAGTAACCAATGTAGACAATGTGAGTCTCTAGTAAACCACACAGACAATGTGGGTGCCTAGTAACCAATGTAGACAATGTGAGTCTCTAGTAAACCACACAGACAATGTGGGTGTCTAGTAAACAATGTAGACAATGTGGATGTCTAGTAAACAACACAGACAATGTGGGTGCCTAGTAACCAATGTAGACAATGTGAGTCTCTAGTAAACCACACAGACAATGTGGGTGTCTAGTAAACAATGTAGACAATGTGAGTCTCTAGTAAACAACACAGACAATGTGGGTGTCTAGTAAACAATGTAGACAATGTGAGTCTCTAGTAAACAACACAGACAATGAGGGTGTCTAGTAAACAATGTAGACAATGTGGATGTCTAGGAGACAATGGGGATGACTAGTAAACAACATAGACAATATGGGTGTCTAGTAAACAATGTAGGTGTCTTGTAAACAACCTAGTCAATATGGGTGTCTAGTAAACAATGTAGGTGTCTTGTAAACAACCTAGACAATATGGGTGTCTAGTAAACAATGTAGACAAAGTGGATGTCTAGCAAACAATGTAGACAATGTGGATGTCTAGTAAACAAAATAGACATTGTGGATGTCTAGTAAACAATGTAGACAAAGCGGATGTCTAGTAAACAATGTAGACAAAGCGGATGTCTAGTAAACAATGAAGACAAAGCGGATGTCTAGTAAACAATGTAGACAAAGCGGATGTCTAGTAAACAATGTAGACAAAGCGGATGTCTAGTAAACAACGTAGACAATGTGGATGGCTAGTAAACAACACAGACAATGCAGATATCCAGTAAACAATGTAGACAATATGGACGTCAATTAAACAACATAGACAATGTGAATGTCTTGTTAACAATGCAGACAATGCAGAGATCTAGTAAACAATCTAGACAATGTGGATTTTTAGTAAACAACTTAGACCACGTGGATATCTAATAAAACTACTGAACCATTTGGATGCAGAGCAAACAACTGTGACCATGAAGGTGTCTAGATAATGTAAACCATGTAAATGTCTGATAAAACAACTTAGACCATATGGATGCACAGTAAACTAACAATGAGAGATAATTTAATGAAATATATTTATAATTTCTAAAGAAAACTAACAATAGAAGACAAATTAATGAAATATGTTACTGATGAAAACTAACATTGAAAGATAAATGAATAAAATAGATTACTGATGAAAACTTACAATTATCTGAACCGCTGTCAGAGTCTTTTTCTATTCGTTTAACTCCAGGCTTCTTTTTAGTTTTCTCAGCTCCAGGTGTTTCTTCATCATCATCTTCATTATCACTGTCGCCACTATCATCATCATCACCACTTTCTCTGCTAGATACTTCTGCAGAACTGTCACCAGTCACAGCCCGCTCTTGTTCTGTGTCATCTCTTAAACTGCTCATCAACTTTATAGCACTAAAATAGACATAAATATGTTGCCAGATCAACAAGGAAATAATATCTGCTTCAGAATTGTTTTTATATTGTGAATTTAAATAATGACAAAAATAATATACTGTAGAATTTTCTTTCTTTTTGAGCATTCCAAGCCCTTGCTGGAGATATCACCTCCATTCATCTGGTCTTCTTGTTTAAGGGCAAGCACAGCAAAAGAAGAAATTCTCAAAATCTGAGGCAATTTCTGTCAAAACTGACCTCGGCTCCCAGGTGTCGCATAACAGCATCAACTCCCCTACCACAATAGACGTGCCCACAGTCTGGACACCCCCATATTAATTGGCGTATCTAAATTCTAGGATAGTCCGTTCGTAGATATATAGTTTGTTTGTTGCTGGGAAGTTCAGCTGTGAGAAACCTATATAAATCGCTCCTAGATTGATCCTTCTTGGCGAATGTTGCCAATATGTATGACAGGACACATTTTCCACGTTTGTTCAAGCTTAATAGTTTGACCGCTTCACTGCGTGCTTGAGCCGTATCCTCGCCCCAAATGTGGTAGTTAGGTACTATAATTGTGTACGTCCCTTCTACTTAGTCCGTTCAAGTGGATGGATGTGTTTCAGCACTGTGGCCACTTGACCGTTAATAAAGCATCTTTGTTCTCTTTGTTCAGTTGCATGGGTGAGTTTTCCAAAAATATATATATTTATATATATATATTTTGTGCTCAGTGCCTGTATGTGTTTGCGAGAAAAGGTAAGAAGAATTATAACACCGAATCTCTATGTCTACGATCACCTGCAACGAGAGACGATAGAAGCGCTGGAAGACTGCACTTTCAGCTGAAATTTCTTCGTAAATTCTTTTAGCTTGCTATCTAAACCTATTTGGATCAATCAATCCACTTGTTGAAAATGTAATTAATGTCTTGAGAAACTTGTACGATTTGTTATGATCTTTTAATTGGTCTCTGAACTTGATGAGTTGGTTGACCATTGAGAACAGGCAGCGCTATTCTAGGAAAGCATAACGTCACATCCGCCGTTGCTAGGAGTGACTATAACCAAAACAAGCTCAGCATTTGGAAAAGCTTTTGGGAATCTATTCTCCTATCTTGTCTACTTAATCTTTCCAACTGGTGAAGTGGGGATATATAGAGGGATGGGGACTGATAGAGATCTGACTGGCTTTCGCTACGGGACAGGATTCTTAGTCTGTTAGAATCGATGGAAATGTCTGACTAGCAATTAAACTCACTCTAAGGAATAGTAAAGACTCCTGAAGGGAAGGTCACCTTAACGACTAGCCTCACAGTTACCTCTGAGCACATATGGAGAGTGTTAAGTGTGTGAGTGGCAGAGGGTATTGAGTGAGGTGTGTTCATAGATATTTTCTTGTTAATTGCAGGATGCCGGAGAATCCAATAAGTGTCAAAGTTATAGTCAGACTGTCCTTTAGACCGCCATCCAGCCTCTTCGAGCAACACCGTTATGTCGCCCGTGTAAATGCAGTGCGCCTGAGCATCAGGTAACCTTGTATCATTTGCTAACTACGACTGAGTCACTACACTAAAGAAGTCGAGCAATAATTATCAACTACTATGTGATCTGCATGTTGAGGTCGACACCAGCGAAGTCACTGAGAGATGAATCGATCTTTCCCCTTGCCACGTGCGATGAGTACTATCACTTCATGCAAGGCGTAGAGTCAAGAAACCCTAGATTTCTACAGTCCTGTGTTGATACGCTGGAAGACTCCTATAAGATAAGTCCAGTTATCTGCAAGAGATATAGTGACCTCAAGCTATCTCGCTTCTCTCTCCGTGCAGTGATGAAAATGTTTCTGTTGTTGGCACCTGAAGGAAACCAGTCTGTCAATTCTAGTTCTGCAACTTCAGGTTTAACTTTCGTGCTATTTCACTGGAATATTTGTTTCCTAATGTTTTGACGTCCCATTACACTTTGATCTTTGTTCGAAATTATTCAATCCTATCGTAGAATCCAAGTCATCTATAGCACCTGATATTACTAAATATAGTTTTAAAAGAACTGGGATAAAAGGGAGGCCAAGTGGACAGACCAAAAGACAAGACAGATATATAGTGTTTCCAAAACCAATGTCCAAAAATAAATGAAAATAAAAAAGTGATTTTATATAAATATAATATGTTAAAAATATTAACAACAAATATACTTCTTGGCAGCTTTTCTTCTTGATCTTTTTCCAGCTGATTCACCTTCAGCCTCTTCCTCCTCCTCCTCGCTCTCATCCTTTGTCTGTTGCAATAACCGCTTCTGTTCACTCTCTCGAGCACGCTTCTCCTGTGTTTTGTGACCCATCATATGCTGCTGCATCCACATGGCTCTGAATGTTCTATTACAAATTTCACAAGTGGCCCTTTCCTCCTGAAGAAAATTATTTCAATGTAAATTGTTAGGTCATGTAAAAGCATATATGACATACATTTGAAAAGTACAGAAACACTGGCCATGTAAAAACAACACAATGTAGACTTGGTCATGTAAAAACACTTACTGTAGACTTGGTCATTGAAAGATGACAGATAATGTAGACTTGGTCATTGAAAGATGACAGATAATGTAGACTTGGTCAGGTAAAAATATTACTGTAGACGTGGTCATTGAAAGATGACAGATAATGTAGACTTGGTCAGGTAAAAAATATTACTGTAGACGTGGTCATTGAAAGATGACAGATAATGTAGACTTGGTGAGGTAAAAACAACAAATAATGTAGACTTGTTCAAGTAAAAACATTTACTATAGACTTGATCATTTACGTCAGGTTTTGGTCAGATATGACTGAGCTACCATATAACTATCATGAGTCGCCCGTATCACCTGTCTTCTGTAAATGCTGTATACTGGGCTGCGTATACCAAACCTGACAACGGAGGAGCGCATTGGGGAGGATACTAGATTTAACTGAGGAAAAAGACATGTAGCCTGAAAATTGTGAGTCCTATGTCACCTCATAACGAAATATAACACTGTCGTTTGAAAAGGTCCCAATAAATCAGACTTGGTCATGTAAAAACAACACACAGCGTGAACTTAGACATGTCAAATAACATGCAGTTTAGTTATGTAAAAATACTGTAGACTTGGTTGTGTTTGATAACACATACTGTAGACTTGGTTGTGTTTGATAACACATACTGTAGACTTGTTTGTGTTTGATAACACATGCTGTAGCCTTGGTTGTGTTTGATAACACATGCTGTAGACTTGGTTGTGTTTGATAACACATACTGTAGACTTGGTTGTGTTTGATAACACATGCTGTAGACTTGTTTGTGTTTGATAACACATGCTGTAGCCTTGGTTGTGTTTGATAACACATGCTGTAGACTTGGTTGTGTTTGATAACACAATCTGTAGACTTGGTTGTGTTTGATAACACATGCTGTAGACTTGGTTGTGTTTGATAACACATGCTGTAGACTTGGTTGTGTTTGATAACACATGCTGTAGCCTTGGTTGTGTTTGATAACACATGCTGTAGCCTTGGTTGTGTTTGATAACACATACTGTAGCCTTGGTTGTGTTTGATAACACTTGCTGTAGACTTGGTTGTGTTTGATAACACATGCTGTAGACTTGGTTTTAAAAAGAATGTTGCGAACACTCTGGTCCACCAGAATAACTAACAATGACTGCATGGAAATGACTAATGAAAGTAGAAAATTCTATACAACAATGAGAAGGAGACAAACAAAGTTCTTTGGGCATGCGATGAGAAAAGGAGCACTGGAAAAGATCGTGACGACTGAAAAGATTACTGGTAGAAGAGGCAGACCAAGAGAAATGATGGTGAATGGCTTAAGACAGTGGCATGGAGGAATATTATCAGTTGAATTGATCCCGAACACCAAAGACCGAGATCTGTGGAGATGCAGAAACGCCTACACCAGATGATGATAGTCATGTAAAAATAACACTTACCACAAACACTCAATGTAAAAACATTTACTCTAGACTTGGTCATGTAAAAACACTTACTTTAGACTTGGTCATGTCAAAACACTTACTCTAGACTTGGTCATGTAAGAACACCTACTCTAGACCTTGGTCATGTAAAAACACTTACTCTAGACTTGGTCATTTAAAAACACTTACTCTAGATCTGGTCATGTAAAAACACTTACTCTAGACTTGGTCATGTAAGAACACCTACTCTAGACCTTGGTCATGTAAAAATACTTACTCTAGACTTGGTCATGTAAGAACACTTACTCTAGACTTGGTCATATAAAAACACCTACTCTAGATCTGGTTATGTAAAAACACCTACTCTAGATCTGGTTATGTAAGAACACTTACTCTAGACTTGGTCATATAAAAACACCTACTCTAGATCTGGTCATGTAAAAACACCTACTCTAGATCTGGTTATGTAAGAACACTTACTCTAGACTTGGTCATGTAAGAACACTTACTTTAGACTTGTTAACATGCATACACTGAAAATAAATTAAGTGGTTGTTATAAACTGTACTTCTTCTTAATGTTCAGAAAAACTAAGGAGACAATTTCACATAGATACCTCTCTTCCACACCAAATCTGATGATGCCTGTAGTACTGTGTAAATCGGAAATTTTTTTTGCACATCTGGCAAATAACGTGTCCAAGTGTCTTGATGATGAGTGTGGGGTTGTCAACACCTTCAGGGGTTTTCACACTCCACTGAATGTAGGCAAATAAACATACAATGAATGATCACAAAAGCTAGATCAAAAACAGAATAAAAAAAAATAAAAAAGACTACAGTTAAAAACATACAAAACTCAATAAATAATAATGCTAGTGTTTGGATAATTCTGTTGATATGTTTCCGTCTTCCTTGACGACAGCAGTATATGGTATGGGGGCGGGAGGGGGAAGAAGAGTCACAGCCAATTAGGCCCAGAACTGAAGTTCATCCTCTTCACAACACAAAGCCTAGGAAGTATTGTAGAGACTAGGTACTATCCACACAGCATGATACCTCTCTCAGTCTGCCTGGTATGGATAATTATAGGTTACGTTAGCTGTCTTCTTTTCAAGGACACTACAACCCCACCCCAGGTTTTATTGGCTGTTGTGTGGTTTTGCTGGGGCAATTTTAGGTTCAGCAGTTTGCTATTAACAAGTCATTGCAATTAAAAAAGGGAACTCGAAATGAACAGTTATGACAAACAAACAAAATAAGGAGTTTGTGACAATACGCTCGGTGACTCCAGAATGTCTTTCCTCAACCTACTTTTATTTCTTTGTATTTTGAAAGTATACAGGAAAATAGGGATTTGGATACATCCTTAATGACGACCACATCACACCTTTAATTCTCCTGGACCGTTGGTCATATCAAACACTACAACTTTTTCCCAGATGTTAAGTGTTAAGGTACAGAGATAAGACTGACCAAGCAGACTTACTGACTGGAGATTTGCACACCATTTGTTGGTGTCAGATAGTTATTCCCCCTGCCAGATCTTCAGGAACAGATAACAAGGGCTAATTGCCATTATCTCCCCCTGAGGTTACCTAACTCGACGGCAGGTCCGACGGTCACTATTGACACAGTGAGCGGAAAGTGTTGGCAGAAGAATTGACAAAGTCGGATTTTATTGTGATGACAGGTGAAGTAGACTAGAGGTGTGACTTGTCTTATTTGCTCTGGTCAGATGAATTGACCAGGAGATCCTAGCGTGGGAATTCAAACAATTGTTGTACAGTCACTGACTGACAGCGAATAAACTTACCCACAAGGGAGGAGCTGTGATATCCGTGAATGAGAATGATTTTAGGCGTAATGTAGGAGGAGCTTGATAAAAGTTATAAAGGGGTGAACTATAGGTCTGGTAAATGAGATCCTGTCTAGCACATGCCATCTGTTGGGCTTAACCTAAGCTTGAGACAGAACCTTTGGCATCGTGGTTTCATTTTTCCAGGTAAGATGGAAATTAGGTTTAAATCTATATTTTATGATAGAGATCTAACTGTCTTTTTACTCAAGTGTGTGTCTTCATCACTTTGTAGTACTCCTAGGCGGACATCTCTTCATTCTCGTAGGGCACTGTCACATTGCTTTATATCCTATTTGATAGTGTCATGAATGTTTTTCGTGCACATGTGTTTCAATGTTGTAAAACCTAAATGTTGTTGTTGCCATTGAAATTTAATGAACTATCATGTTTTTGAAATCACAAGCGTGAAGATAACTTTGGCAATCTTTTCACGTGTGGTTAATGTGAATCTGTATTACATACAGCTAACACACTGAAATGTGTTTAACTCTCGGGAGGCTAATGCGGAGATTGATCCCGGAGAGTAAATCCACGAGATTTGTTATTTGATTCGCCTCAGAAATATTGTTAGCTTTCTGGGCGCGTCGATTGTTCCAAGCATAGATTCCAGAACTGGTTCTGTCTGACTGATTGTCATTTTGAGTCTGTACGAGAGATGGCACCTGACGTAGAAGACTTGACTATCATTACAGGACGTGTAGAGGAAGGCAGAAGATGTAACAGTTGGAATGTGAGACATAAGCCCTTCCAAATTGGACAGGAGTGAATGTGAGCATGAGGGAGAGATGAAATGTTTTATTTAAATAAACATGCTTTATGTTAGTATAATATACATGCTTAGTGTACATCTAGAGCAGATACTACAAATATGTGCTTGTTTCTTCATTCTCCAGTTCCCACATTGGGCAGGGACTAGTAGGCATCCATTATTTGCTGACCGTCGAGTGTAACGACCTGCAGAAAGCAGTGAGGACGACAAACTGGAAAAGATAGGCAGGGTCTCAAGCCGAGAACTGTCCTGACGGTGAATTCTCCTACTAGGAGTTAAGTATATGTACAAACTGTCATCAATCACATCATTTCAACTCTACTAGCCTAAACAAGTTCATTTTATTTTAGTCAGATTTATTAAATAAATCTTTGTGATGTTGTTTAAACAGAGTTGAGTAAATTGTGTACTTAGGTTCAAGTGTCTTTGTGCATATTAGTTTACTTCAGCTAACAGATATTTAAATCACTTGATGGGGGCTTTTAAGCAATGCCAGGAGAGGAGTCCAGTCGCAGGGGTTAACTGAGCACCTGGATTATATCACAGTGGGTTTATCCAGATATCTATCTATCCCTTCTCCTACTCCTGTGGATACAAGTACAGCAACTTTCATTTCATGGAACGAGCCACTCGCTGTTTTCTTGGCTATCCAGGACTGTCTAGGATCAACATAGCTTAGATAATAGTCCAGTTTCTCACGTGGGTGGGCATTGTTAAGGTTCAAACCCACACCCTCACTATATCAGTGTATTTACCCACGTGGGCGCGCGACAGAGTTAGGCAACAATGCACTTTATCACTTTTTTGTAGCATTTGAAGACCAGGAGAAAATATTTGACAGGGTCAATAGACAAAAATTATGGAAAGTAATGGCTCGATATGGAGTAAGTGAACACCTCACTGAAGTTTGCAAAAGCTTATATGGAGATTGTAGAAGCGTAGTTAGAATAAATCAGGGAACATCCAAACCATTCAAAGTAACATATAGAGTAAAAAGGGATGTGTCTTATCACCATTCCTGGTTATCACCTACACTGACAGTTTAAGCAAAGATGCCAGGAACAGGAGCAAAAATAATAGTAACATCAACGAATTACTCTGTGCTGATGACCAGGCCTTGAGTGCAGATACAGCAATACATTTACAACATCTCACATCCATGAATAAAGAATGTAAATCAACATAAAAAAGACAGAAGTAATGTCGACAGGAAGAAAGAAGCAGAATTTAAATACTGCATTAGAGCATACATACATTAAATAGTCATCTGAGTTTAAATATCTTGGAACAACTTTGACTGAAGATGGTAAATTGGATGAAGAAATTAACATCCGATGCAGTAAAGCAGGCCAAGTATTGAGACAGCTAGCCTTCATCTTCAAGCATAAGGCAACCCCAATCAGCACAAAGAAACATCTCATACAAAGCAACTTCATTCCTACCCTATGCTACCAGTGCCAGACGTGGTCATTCACAACAAAACATAAACAACAAAAATTAATAACCATGGAAATGAGGCGTCTGAGAAAGACTGTAGGAGTGACCGGAAGAGATAACAATCAGAAATGAGGTCAGTACAGAACCAAATGACACACAAAGACAGCAAATCAAATGGTTTCTAACTTGGAGAGAATGCCTTCTGATCCTATACCATATACGACATATACAAAAAGAGGAGAAAGATGCAGAGCAAGAGGAAAACCAAGAACAAAAAGGGAAGATAACATCAGAGAAACTCTACAGCACTATGATGTGTCTATGGTCAAAACATCCAGAAGAGCAAGAAGCAGGACCTTATATCTCCCTTGACACCTGCAGCAATAAACGAGGACATAATGAAGAAGAAGATGGTATCTTTGCTGTTGGCAGCAGAGTTAAATGGCTGAACCATTTCACTCACTGATTTCTAATATAATCTAGCACTGCTATTATTCCTACTTTCTTTAGGGACTCATCTCTATATGTTGAGTGCCCTTTTCAAGAATCTACAAGGTCAGACAATTAAGTAATGAGACTGATTCCATAAAAATTAAAATAATCAATAGTTGAAGATATAACCTGTATCTGATTCAAAGAAAGCCCCTTGCACATTGATACAGCAAGTGGCATGATCTAATAAACACTGGAACGACCTCTGTAGTTTTTCTGTTGTTATGGCCCTTAAAGTCGATGTACAGCCCTCTGAATGTCATCAATATCGTTAAAGAAACGTCCTTTCAATAGTAACTTTAATTTTGGGGATAGAGTATAATCACAGAGAGACAAATCTGGGGAACAGAGTGGAAGGCTGAGAACACACAATTGTTTTTGGGCCACAAATTCTCGTTTTGATGATTTTTCTTGGGTACTCAACCCGCTGATGTTTTTAGTCATCAGACAACGAATGTGGTACAAACCGGCAAGCAACTTTTTTCTTGCCAAAATCTTGCACTATAATGTTCAAATGGCCTCTCTTAACACCAGATTCATCTGCCATCATCCTCACAGTAAAACAATGATCTTCTTGTATCTGTTCTTTGACTTTAGCAAAGAGTTCATCATTACGAACAAAAATTTGGCGTCCAGGTCCAGTTGCATTAGTAATCATTTCCACACCACTTTTGAATCGTGAATACCACCTGAAAATGTGTGCACGAGATAAATAATTATCCCCATAAATTTGCTGCATCAATTCAACTGTTTCAATGGCGCTTTTTCTAACTTTTAAAATGAATGTAATGTTAGCTTTTTGCTCCCTGCTGATTACGTAACAATGCACTTATGACTAGGTCAACAAAATGTCGGTTTGTTTGTTGTCTGCTTATTGAGCTGCGATGAAAAGTTGATAGAACATAGATTAATTTTGTCTCCTTAGATTCCATGCTTTGCTTCTAGATGAAATTTTAGTCTTCGCCATAATAAAATCAGTCTCATTACTAAACTGTCGGACCTTGTAATTTCAGTATTGTAATTTTTTTACTTGACTATTTTTCTATAATTTTCTAAATCTGGCAATGGTAACAAATAGTTGGTAAAAAAAGAATGTGATATCTGCTAACACACACTTATTTCTCAGTGTTAGTGCCAAATGTCGAATAAGATTTTTTAATGTATTACAACTATTACTGATCTAGTCTTGCTGACGTCCCACTTAACATATTCGAAACGAGTTCCCTGACTGTGTTTAATTTGCTTAATCTCTAATCCCTCAAAATTTTAAAATAATGCTTTTTAAGAATTAAAAAATGACACAAAGTATGAAGAAACAAAGTTGCAAAGTTTCAAATAAACTTTTCTCAGGTTACATTCAGTTCTTCCAATTGCTCATTTCACACATCAATTGTATATAATCATCAATGTATGTCAAATTTATCTGACAATAATAATACAAATACTAAGTATAAACACCAAAACATTGTATGGCAAATAGATACATCAATGCTCAAACACTACATTTACATACATACATACCCACACATAAACACAGGCAAATGTAATAGTATATATACACACAGCCACACACACACTAAACATGCTAACACACTCACACATGTAAAGAGACACACAGAGGTACATACACATGTATTCAAACATATACTGAAACATACATACCTACATATCTTCTTCTTCGCGTTCACCAGCTGTACACTCTGGTGGAAAGTTCTGGTTGTTCGTCCACTTCTGAACTGCAATCATGCTCCAGAACCTGAGTGTTGCGTGTGCATCAGTTTTACAGATCTGATTCACTTAAATGCAGACTGTTGGTTCCTTGCCTCTCAGGCAGATGCACTCCGACTTCAAAGGAAGCTCCCCATTTAGTCGACTCTTGCGACATGCTTTTGGGTAAGCCAAGGGTCTATTCTTGTTTTCCCCCACGATGGGGCCCCGGAACCCACACAGGGAATACCTACATATGAATGCACATATACACATGAATGTACTAATAAGAAACTACCAAACATAAGGAAAAAACCACTAATGCTTTTACCATTAAAGAATGCTCAGTCATCATATGATGCCGCATAGTAGTGGATTTGTCCACTCTCAGCCCACAGTGATGGCATGTGTGTGGTGAATTTCCTGACTGTCGCTTTGCAACCTGGGGAAAACAAAAATACTGTGAACTACAATTATACACTGGGCACATCCTGAAAAAAATGTAAGATAGTTTGAATCATTAACAAGAAACTTTAAAAGAAATAAAAAAAAAATTTACTTGGATCCCTAGACTGAATAGTTTAAAACCGGGCTTTTTTGCGTTTATCATAATCATCATGTAGCAGGTCCTTTGCAGAACGTCGCTCTCATCACAGTCTGCTTGAAAGAAACTAGGTCTCTTGCCAGTTCTCCCGTTCTCATGTACTTTCCTACTCAAGGAGTCCCTTATATCCTGTGCCCATCTTCATGTTGGTCGGCCCCTGCCCCTCCTTCCTGGTACCATGCCTTAAGCTATAATTTTTTCCAATCCGTCGTGGCGCTTGATATGACCAAAATATTTCAGCTTTCAAGACAGGATGCTGTTTATTAGTCAATCTTCCTTGATGTTCAGATCTTTCAAGATGTCAATATTTCTCCTCTTCTTTGTCCAAGATATTCTGAGAATCTTTCTATAGCATTTCAGCTCAAAAGCCCCCATTCCTTTTCTTAAAGACTGAGAGATAGTCCACGACTCACATCCGTATGTAGCCACAGGGAAGATGCATGCTCTCAAAATTCTAATTTTGATCTCCTTGCTGCTCCTTAACCATAGACTTTTAAGGCTGTTCTTCTTCTTCTTCTTCTTGTTCACCGGCTGTGAATTCCGGCGGTAAGTCGCGGTTGTTCGTCCAAGTGGGCTTTTGGCTTTTACCTTGACCTGAGTTTTGCGTGTACATCCGTTTTACTGGCTTATTTGTTTGCAGTTCTCGTTCCCCGCCTCTCCGGCAGATGTACTCCGACTTCGAGGGAAGACGTCAAGCCTATTTCTAGGTTGACTGTGGACATTGTTTTGTGTGGGTCGAGATGTTGCCTCATTTGTGTGGTGTCCTCTTTGACCTTTAACAGGAGAAGGCAGGGGCAGATCATGGGCATTCCCCGCCATCCAAGGAGGCTTCCATAAATGCAGAGCCGACACATGATGCTCTGGTTCTAGGCTCACCCAAGGAATCGTCACGTCCTGTCCATGACTGCTTAACCTCACAACCGTGTATTGAGCTTCCCGCGCCACAAGGCTGCGCTCTCCGGAGATCAGTGGGGAGCAGCCCGCAGGTCCAGGACTTTTGTGGCCACACAAATAGGTACATTCTTTTTCATCGTACGTTAGACACCTTTAACGTTGTTTCAGCTGTGCCCTTAGCACGACAGAACGGGAAAGCAAAATGCGTCAGGCGTGGCTTCACCTGTTTGGTCCCAACACTCGGGCGAGTGGGACCAGTGGATACGCACATTTGGACTTTTTCCTAATCAGTACGAATTATGATCGTCGGACTTTGAGCTTGCATGTGCGCCGTGGGGTTTAACTTTGCCGGACATTATTTCCTAGCCAGCAGATGAAAGTTGCTGCCATGGTGTACCTCAGCGCGGTGACGACGACACTGAGGATTGACAGAGGATGTACGTAGGTAGGATCTTGCTGCGAGAAATCGCCCACAAGAGATGTTACTCGTCCTGGCTGCGGGTAAATCTCTCGGTCAGGGTTGAGTCTCAGCAGCACAGTTTTCCATTCGCTCCTGAATTTTAACCGAGAGTTGTCATTTGATGGTACATTTGGCAAGCAATCCTTACTCGTGTTCCGAATGAGTTTTGTTAGACTTTTCACCCATGCGTTTGGGGGCGGGCTGGTGAGAGCCAGAAAGGACACTACACCTCTAGGGGCCGCTAGCTCCGAGATCCCCTGCCAACTCTATTAATGCTCATTTGAGACATTATACGTGGCGCACGACAGGGACGTTCAGCAGGAGTCTTGCATGAGGTTCCGTAGAACCAGAACAGTGAAGGACTGGCGCCCGAGTGGGGTACAGAATATCTCCTTATACACATCACATCAGACTTAACTTCCCCTCATGCCTGTGACCGAAATCACCGCGCCACTAAGGCTGTTCAATCTTTGCATTGCTATGGTCATCCTCTTTTTAATTTCTGTCGGTCTCCATTGCTGCTTATTATACATTTTCGATTTCTTCATTATTTATTGTTATTTTTGGGTTTTAGAACCTGACTGTTACGTACACATCCGTTTCAGATATGGGTTGTTTGTATGCAGACTGTTGGTTCCTTGCCTCACAGGCAGGTGCACTCCAACTCTGAAGGATGCCACCAATGGGTCGACTCCTATGAAATGCTTGTTGGGGAGGTAGTGGGTCTATTCTTGTTATCCTCAAAACGAAGCCCCAGAACCAACAAGGGGAAGGGCTATTCAACTGGTTGTATCCAGCTTGTACAGGTTTAACAAGAGCTGTGTTGTATTAATGTTCTTTCTAGGCTGGGGCTCGGACCTCTGGCCTGTGACACTCCAAATTTTCCTTGTTTTGGCACCTGAGTAAATTTTGTTGAATAACCTAGCATAGAATGACAACTAGAAAATAAGGGAAGTAAAGCTGGCCATCATGATACTGATGACACAATAAATGTCAAGGAGTCTATCAATTATGTTATTACAAGTGATGCCACTGAACATTGGACATTTCCAAGTGTGCTCAGTCCTCTGATTCACCCCAAGGTCTGTCTACTGATCGTTCCCATGAGAAAATAGTTAACATCTCTTCTATCTTGACCTCAAAGATGACAACCACATGCTTAACCAGGCTTCAGTCAGAAAACATGTCATTATGCTATTAATTACTCATTTAAGAATCAATGTAATAGCAAACCCAGTATACCCACAGAGGTCCTGTCTTCCTAAGCAAATGTCTCAAGGTATAGATGATGACAGTTCCAGTAACATACAGGCATAAAGGTTGTACACGCATAATACTTTTCTTCTCATGTCCTTTCCTGTTGGTTCCATGCTTAATTCAAAATTTGGGTCTACTAATATATGGGGGCCAGCACCATATGCTCAAAAAACATCAAGAAATGAAAATAGGACCTTTAATAACACTGTTATCATTCAGCAGAGTCCTTTTCATATATTTTGCTGGATTTGTATCATTGAAAATAAATGAATATAATAATAACACTAGTGCGAATCAAGAGGTGAGGAAAAGTCACTGGTGTTGAACATGACACACACCAAAAATAACAACCTGATAGTACTGTAAATAGAATGTCCTTGTACTGGAACCCAGAGAGTCAAAGGAGTACAGGCAAACCAAAACACTCGGAAAAGGGAATGAAATAGTGAAGTGTGAAAGACATGAGGAAGAAATGTGGTGCGCCGCATGAGGTCTCACAAATTTCACTTTCTGAGACATGATACTGTTCATAGGTTTTCTGTTAAGATTAGAACATCATTAGAATGTCAACATTGTTTTTTCTTCTTCTTCTTTATCCATGGTGTCTAAGAAATTTTGCTGCAACATTTAAATGAAATGGCTGTGTCAGTCCCTGGCACAATAGGAAGTTAAAACTCTTAGATCACTTTAGATTTTCCGATTACAATACCCATAAATATTTGTCACCTCTTCCTCTCTCCTCCATCCCATCTCCCTAAGTTTTTCGCAACCTCAAAGTTCAAAGTTGCCACCACATTTTTTTTTTTCACTTTTTGAATTCCAGATTTACTCCTTCATTGAAAAAAATGACCTACAACTTTAACCTTTATTTTTACTTGTGTTTGTGATAAGGCTTATAATTTGTTGTCAATAGGCAGAATATACTGACTTTATATATATATACACACACACACATAGGTAAGAGTTGTAAGCATAAAGGTTGGTAAAGGCATTCTAAAATAACTAAATGAGGTCTTAATTCAACTCAGTACACAGGATATAAAATATGTTACGGCAATAAATGATGTTTATAATAAAATACACACACACACAAACAAATATTGGGACTTACCGGTTTTGGTAGAACACTACTAAGTGGTGGCCTGCCACTTCTCTTTTTGTGTGTTGAAGCAGCGAGATTTTGTTCACTTTGCTTAGGTGGCCGTCCTCGTCTTCTTACCGATTCAGGAGCTACTGTGTTTTCACTCGTCATTTCTTCTTTTAATTCCTCTGACTGAGGATCTACAAGAGTGGAACTGCTTTGTGACACACACTTAGGTGGTCTTCCTCGTCTTTTTGGTGTTACAAGAGCCACATCGGTTTCATCTTGTATTTCCACTTTTATTTCCAGCAACTGGGGACTGACACCAGTGGTATTGTGGCTCGTAGCTTGAGTTGGATGATTTTCAGCTGCCGCCAGGGACTTGTTTACTGTGCTCTCTTGCGAGATACATTTACGTGGCCTTCCTCTGGACCTTTTGTTTGGTGCAGCAGATGCATAACTGTCAAACTGCTGTTCAGATGTTTCTCCATGCAACTGAGGATGTGCATTATTGATACTGTTCCTTTCCAGATCTATCTCCCCAAATGTACTACTTGCAGCTTCGTCAGGTGGGCTTTGTACTGCTGGTTCACCACCCTGGGATGATGAGGTAATTGCAGATTTGCCCTTAGATGACAACTTTCTTCTCTGTGTAACAGAAGTTGCAGTTGCCATCAGCAATTCTGTTCGTAAGCCTGTTGACACATTTGAACGCTGGCTTCCTCTTTGTCTTTTTATGGGTTCCAAAGTTTTCGTAGTACCATCTGAACAACCAATTATCACTTCAGTTCTAAAAGGTGTATTACTTTCAACTGACCTTTCTCTCTGATTTCTTTGAAACATGGACATTCCACTGGAATCAAGAGAACAGTGTGTTTCCTCTCCTGTGCCATTTTCGGTTGGTTCAGACTCTTCAGCAACTATTTTCAGTGCCATGTCCACTTCACTACCACCGCAAGCATTATCTGTACCTAACATACTTCTGTTTTCACTACTGACATCATGAGAACCAGTTCTTTGCCTTTTACTAATGATATTTTCTTTGAAACTATCTCCACATAAGATGTCAGCTGTTCGCTTTGTCGGCTGCCTCTTCACAGTATTCTCTCCTGTCGAACATAAAACGTCTAGCTCACAGTTTGCCTGTGTTTCTGATTCATGCTCATGCACATGGTCACTGTAATTATTTGTAGCTTTTTCTGCAGCACTCTGTTGTCCATTTTCCTTATATATTTGCACAATCACACCATTCTTAGCTAAATCATCCTGGCTTTTAGTTTCCCAAGCATTTAACATGTCAGATGTGTTTCTACGTGTCCCTGAATGAGAAGCATCTAACATTATTTCCGACGTCCCAGTCTGTTCAACTTCAGTTGGTGCACAGTCAGAGATGTTGCTAATATCAGTTTTATCAGACTGTACATACTCTAGAAGTATTTGTTTCTTTGGTCTCCCTTGTCTCCCCATCCCTGACTGTTTAACTGGGGTACTAGTGGCAAAGATCTCAACTTTTTCAGCAGTTGGTGGAAGCAACTTCCCATGGTTGTCAAAAGTGTAAAAGTCACTGCTGTAGTTTTTTGGCTTTGGTTTACGTCGTGATCTTCCTGGTGGGGAAACCGTGGTGTCTACGGCCCCATCTGTCTCCTTTCTCTTATCCACAGCCGCCTCCATAATAAGATTGTAGGGTGAAAGTTCTAAATGAAAAGACATCACTAAATTAGTTATTAGGCTCTCCTCCGAACTTCTACCCCCACAGCATTGCGGCCTGAAAAATCCATTTGGGGCGCAGTCCAATTAAAAATACAGACTTGTCGGATTTCCTGCCGAGGAACAAATTGCCGTAAAACTAGGAGTACCTTACAATGTCACGAGATGCAACATTGCAGACGATAGTAGCAGTCAATAAAAGCGACCGGTGACAATGTTGAGCGTTTTTTGCAGACGATAATAGCAGACGATAAAAGCGACCGTTGACAATTTCGAGACATTACAGACGATGAAAGCGATATGGCGGGTAGACCACGCGCTCCCACGAAGATTAGCAATACTGTTCTTCCGATTGAGGATTTAGCAGCGGTAGATGTCAGACTAGTCTGCATGCGCAAAACGTGATTAAACTCACCGCCGAGTGTATCCCCCACGCCGCTGTGCTGATAGGGGGCTAAACTAGGTGCCTGGGACTCACGAGCAAAGTAAATGGAGGAAGTTGCAGGAGATGCGGTAGCTGCTGCTCATGAGTCCCAGCCATCTAGTTTAGCCCCTATCCGCGTATTGGCGGGAGGGGGGGGGGGAACTATCGGTGGTGAGCCATAGTCACAGAAACAGGTCCGCAAGTAACATATCGCTGAGAGCCTGTTAGAGCATTTGTTTCGTTTTTCCGAGCTAATCCTAGAATTGCCGCGATTTATTCGTATGCAGAAAGTTCGACAATGGAAAGTGTCAACGGTCGCTATTATCGTCGTCTGCTACTATCGTCTGCAGTGTTGCGTGCATCTCTTAGAATTGTCAGGTAATCAGAAACAATAAGAAACAGGTCCGCAAGTAACATATCGCTGAGACCATGTTAGAGCATTTGTTTATTTATACGGAGCCGGCATATTTTTAATTGGACTGCTCCCCTAACTGATATTCAGGCCGCAATACTGCAGGGGTGGAAGTTCGGAGGAGAGCCAGTTATTTAGTTCTAGATATCAGGAAAAATCTTTACTTCACAATGATATTTAATTTCATTTACCAAGCCAAAAGTGGTCACTGCAGCTTTCTGCTGGCTAGAACACCACACACATCGTGATTGTAACAGAAATCACCGTTCTTCTTCTTCTTCTTTGCGTTCACCAGCATAAGTTTACAGATCTGATTACTTGAAAGCAGACTTTGGTTCCTTGCCTCTCAGGCAGATCACTCAGATCTCAAAGGAAAGTCCCTATTAGTTGACTCTTACGACATGTGTAGGCAGAGGGTGTATACTGTTTACCCCACACGGGGGCAAATCACCATCACCGTACCTCAACGCAACAGCAACCTTATGATGCCAATTTTGAACAGACATCGAATTTCTCCTGCACTTTATGTGTATTATTTGTAACTTGTTTATCATTTTTCTGTTTATTAAGGCTGAATGATTATATATTAAATCGCATTTAAGATATATATATATATATATTATTAACACAAACCTCTTCACAGTGGGACTCTCGCACATCTGAAAGCCATGTGTAAAAACAATTCTATTGTAAATAACCTGTCCTCTGCGGATTTCGAACCAGAGACCGTGATGACTTCACGACATCATGATATGCAAACCATCCACTAACCTCTCGGCCACAGAAAACACGAAAGCTACTACTGTATCACAGCTACAAATTTTTTAAAAATCAGATTAATATATTTGAAAAAGGAAGACGTGTACAGCTTTTTTTTAATGAAATACTTACACAATCACAAAAACACAGAACGTGTCGAAATTCAATATCAATATTTCATAGAGGGGAAACACGATCACAGTGGTCTCCCCTTTACCTTACCAGATTCTTATGAAGAGTAGTTTTTTGTTCCATTTAAATTTTTTTCTATTATTGCTTTTTTCTCAAGCGAAATAAAATACCTCAAATGTATATCATGTGGGATACTAGGATACTAGTATAATATAGTTTATATCTTACGAACTATGTTTTAGAGGAGACTCCTCTCATTATTATAAGCAAACGCCAACTGGGCAAGCCAAATGTAAAATAACTGTAAAACTTTTGACGGAAATCGGTAACGGACTTAAGTATTCATCGGATACATTTGTTTACAACAGAAAAAAAAATATTTCTTTAACATTTACATTGCATTTTTTATTGTATTTACGACATGTTAATAAATATATGTTTTTTATATTACAATCTACGAGTAATGGCAAATAAAAAATGTAAATAGTGTCCTTTGAGACAGTAATGTTATATTATTTAATCTGTTACACATAGTCACACTTTTTATCTGTTCAAATCAATAGTTTGTGGCCTTGGCAGAGGCGAACAGACTGAAGTAGTTTCTCTGTACCAGCAACTCATGTTTGTATCTGTTTTACGTGGAAACAACAAACTGTGTCCGAACTCCTTTATGTGCTAAATTCAATACCAAGGTGTTAATTAAAGTAAACACGTAAGTGAATATTTAGGTGTTATCCTTTTTACTGTGATAATCGAAAGTAACAAATTTTTTTCAGGCAGTTTAGCCAGTCACTGAACTGACAGTTCTTTTCGCAGTTTTCAGTCAGCTGAGGGCCTCAGTTTGAGGATAGTCCCATAGTTTAGAACGTGTATTAATAGCACAGCGCATATATTATATCATTGCTTTATGGGCTGATATGTTAACTCAACTCGCATCTTTGACTAGAGTAGATACCATTTGTAAATGTTTGGGTAGATCAAGAATGATTGATAATAAGATATTTCTTGGACCTGAAAAAAAAAAAAGGCTCTCCTCTGAACTACCCCGGCGAAACAAATACCCTAACAGGGCCTCAGTCCTATGAAAAATGCGCGACTTCCTGCGACGAACGAATCGACGCAAAACTAGGATTACCTGTCAATTTTAAGAAACACAACATTGCAGACGATAGTAGCAGACGATAATAAATAGTGACTGCAGACGATAATAGCAACCGTTGACAGCGATATGGCGGGGATACGACGCGCTCCGACGCAGATTAGCAATACTGTTCTTGCGATTGAGGATTTAGCAGCGGTAGATGTGAGACCTGTCGATTTGCATCGAGTAATGATTGATAAACTGGTCTGGTTGCAATGGCTAATACGCAGCACACAGGTATGTTCATCCTGCCAGGGTGCTATGTCATTGGCAGCGCGGCAGGTGGCTTCTGACAGATACTCATGGCGCTGTCGTCGCTGTAGTACTGAGTGTAGAATGCGCACTGGCTCATTCTTTGCCAGCTGCAGCTTATCAACTGAGAACATAGTCATGATGATGTTTTACTGGCTCTTCGATTAAACTCACCGCCGACAGTATCCTCCGCACCGCGCGTAGCGTCACGGGGAATACTGTCGTAGGTGAGGCATAGTGGCAGAAACATGTCCGCAATTAACATATCGCTGAGACCCTGTTAGAGCATTTGTTTCATTATTTAGCGGATCCTAGTTTTGCCGCAGTTTGTTCCTCGGCCGGAAGTCCGACAAGTCCGCATTTTTCAGGACTGAGGCCCTGTTAGGGTATTTGTTTGACCGCCATATTACTGGAGTAAAAGTTAGGAGGAGAGCCAAAAAATCTTTGTCTCCTTTTTTTGCAGGGTTCCTACAATTCCTGTGTGTAAGTCTGACAGTGCATAGTTAGCAAGGGTTACAGAGTTGTAGAACTGGTCCCTGACAAGCACATGGGATTTATTTTCTATTGCAAATGAGGTCAGGAGACGAACGACTGCGCCCAAGTCTTTTATAGGCTAATATTGATGCAGCACCAGATTTCTGCTCTCAAAAAGTAGCCAGTCTCACCTTCACAGAGAAAGAAAGACTTGATGTCCTACTTTGTGGGCTTGTCCTTGATATACTGCTTGATAGCCAAGTTTTGTGTGTGTGTTTGGCTCAAATGTTGCTTTGGCAGATAGAAGTGGAGAAACTTGGGAAGCAGACTTTCCAAGAAAGGCCCAACTTTTTATATTCTTCTGTCCTATCAATATCTGTGTCATAACATTTATGTTTTGTTAGTCATAGCTCAATAAAGTCAGAGCCTTCATTTGTTCAGTAATCCTGATAGCTGGGCTTTATACATAAGTATCCATATAGATCCTCAGTCCAAGAAAAGCCTTCATTTCTTCCATTGTGGCATCCTTGAAATTTTTGGCATTGTTTTTTGTAATTATGTGTTTTAGTATTAGACAGTAGATAAGTTGTTCAGTCTATCAGTGGTTGTCTCCACATTAAATGTTGGTTGCAATGGATCTTCAACACGCTCTTGTCTTTATTGTACACTCTCTTAGACTGATGTTCTCCCATCTCTTGATGTTGTCCTCCCACTTGTAACATTGTCTACATCTTGCTTTCTTGTCTTTGACCCTTCCCTCCAGTAAAGCTTTTAAAAGTGTGTTAAGTGATTTAATTTGGCCAACATTTTTCAGTTGTTTCTTTTTCATTTCTTTCAGTAATTCTCTTTTCATTGCTATTCATTCCAGAACCTCTGTATTGGACTGTTTTTATTTCCATGAAATATGATCTATTGTTCTGTATATCAAGGTTTCCATTCTTAGTTAGATTTTCTAGTCGCTTGTTCATTGTTCAAGTTTCTGCATACCTAATATTTGAACTTGCTCATTTCTAATGTTTCATTTATCTCTGCAGCTGTCAATAATTTGTGCATCTTTTTGCAGATAGTTTCAGCCATTCCTATTCTCTTTTTGAGAGTATCTCCTACGCGCATAGCGGGTGTGGATTGGGGCTAAACTAGATGGCTGGGAGTCACAAGCAAATAAAATGAAGGAAGCTGCGGGAGATGTAGTAGCTGCTGCTCGTGAGTCCCAACCATCTAGCATCTAGTAAAGCCCCAATCCACGCCATGCGTAGCAGTGTGGGAGATACTCTTGGCGGTGGCGGTAGTCGCTGGAAGTGCGCAATTTAGGTCGCCGGAAGTTCGCAATCGACACGTGACTGAGGCCCTGTTAGGGTATATTTTCGGCC